AAATGTCTTGGGAGCTTGGACTTGGGGAAAGCCATTTTAAACACGAAAACTTTACAATGGCAAGAGAAAATGGACAAAAATCAATAAAGAAAATTCCTTAACTCTGGACAGAACGTAGGAAAAGTTTCTGATAAGAAAAATCAACCAATGATTCAGATGATAAATGGATTCAAGAAAAACATGCAACAGAAAATGTAAATGAAATATGGCAAGAAAAAAACAGTAGGCAAAAAAGGAAAAACATAAAAGAAACAGAAGATGAATCCTATTAAGTAAATAGCATCTGAATTTTAAGGAAAAGCAACATACGCCAGCTTAGTAGCAATTTACCTCTAAGTATGGCTATCTCTCACCTGAGGGCCTAGGAAATTATATTAATACAAGTAGGCCCTTCCTTTTGAATTACTATAATGGGTGAAGGCAGGTTATAACACACACCAAAGGCAGTCCTCTTCCTTTTCCTCCTCCGCCTCTCCTCCTCCTTCTTCTCTTTGGAGAAGGCTGGGCTTAGGGGTTATCCTGGCTGGGGAGAGTCAGGGGAGGGGCTACCTGGGGACTCCGGTACCAATTGGAAGGTTTTTAACTGTAGATATATGAGCATTATTATAATGAAAAAAAAGAAAAGCACCACTAAAAAAAAATGTTTTCCTGCCTTCCCTTCAGTGCTAAGTCACTGCTCAGTCATCAGCAGCCAAGCTCAGGGCAGTCTCCCATATTCCCCTGTCCCCTGAAGATGGACCTCCGATCACTGCAGTGTATAGATCCTGTCATATTTATAGGAAACACGTGATCACATCACTGCCACTGTCCTGCTCAGACCATCAAGCAAGTCGAATTTGAGGCAGCACCAGCCGGGCCTGTCAAGATGAAGGGCATGGACACAGAGCAACATAAAAACAGGCCTAGACAAGAAAACAGAATCCAGAAACCCGACGGGGCAGTCTTCATTTCTCACTGAGATTAAGAGCATCCCAGCCCCAGGTGGCTGCATTCATCAGCCTCACCAAGCAGGCCAGGTCAGCTCCAATTACTCCTGGGCAGTTGAGTTCACTGATTTCTGTGGCTGGCGGCCAGGATTGCATAACAGACAACGAGGCCCAAGGGGGTGCAGACGACCAGGAGGGGCCCCGCGGCTCCTGCCTCATCGTAAGACCCAGGTTTCCCGCCAGGCCGCATGTGCTGCTGCCCTCGGGGACCTGTTGCAGGGGAAGGATTTGGGGGGCGCCCACAGCGTGGAGAGGAGATTCTTTCCCCAACTAAGCCACCGGCAAACGCCATTACCTTAGGGGAAGGCGCTTTATGAGATCTCGCACCCGGCCAGCCAAGAGGCCACGAGATGGCAGCAGAGGACGCAGCCTGGGACACACAACCTGAGCCATCTTGCCAAAAAGCAGATTCAGAAACGGAAGAGAATTCGTTTGCGAAATATCGTCAGTTGTCTATCCTCATGCATTCAAAAACAGAATAAATGACTGAATTTCTAAGGAATGAGGGTAAAATTCATCAGCATGAAGAATTTCCCAACCATCACAGAATTCGGCTGCATATGAAGCCACATATCATGAACTGGAGTTCTCCGACGCTTAAAACAAGAGATGGGGGTCACGGCCTTTAAAAACTGACGTCAGCGGGAACCTTGTCACAGTTCTTTCTGCGAAGTTCCAATTCAAGTAAAATGAGTGACCTCCACAGAGGCTGCCAAACTGATGAAGAAAGGGACAGAGACAGTGGTTGCTGGGAAGCACTGCAGCAAAGCAGAAAGCTGTCATGGAGCAGCCAGGGGCTCTGGCAATAGGCAGTGTGGAGGGGGGAATAATGAGGAACACAGGGCAAGTCTCAAAGAGTCTTCGCTTGCAGCTGGCAGAGGATAACGCACAGGAAAGGGGCATTAGAAGCATTGGGATTAAATCCCAAATCTTCTGACTTCTCATCTAATGTGCCATCACATATTCCCTTGACTCCCTAGTTGTGACCACCAAAAATGTCTCCAGACATTGCAAAATATCCTCTGGGGGGACAAAATGACCCCTCCCTAAGAACCAATGCCCTAGAGAGTTATGATTAAAAAAAAGGTTTTAAGAACTTAATGTTTAATCTTTTCAAGACACTTGTATTTCACAAGGTCTACATGAAATGTATTGTATATCCAAAATGTGAATTCCTACCCTATGCTTGTATAATGCAGAGACTGATAATTGAAGGACTATAGGTTGAATCGAGCTCTTGATTTTTAAAAAATTATGAACATTCTAAAATCAGAAGATTTCACATTTAAAAAGTCAGAATTTCTGACTTCTATAGGAAAATTGGAGCTATGGTGCTACCAAGTCTACAGTCCCACATGGTAATACATTGGGTGGAGTTGAGTGGGGGTAAAGTCTTTAAATAGAATGTGTGCTGTTTGCCACAGTTCCCACTACTCCCTATTACCTCAAACCCAATCTGCTTCACTCATTTAAACCATTTCTTGCCTCTATAGGCAATTTATTTTCAATCCCTGAAGTGCTTTATAGTTTTAAAGTACTTTTCCATGTGTGATTTTATTTTAGCCTTGCTACTCCAGTAGAGAGAGGATAAATATTATTATAACCTCTATGTGAGCAAAATGTAGTTCAGAGAGGTTTGACTTGCCCAAGCAACAGAATCAGAATCTAGATTTCCTGATTCCCAGTCCCATTATTTTTTGAAGAAAAAATCCTGTTAAGAACTTCACTTAGGGGCTCCTGAAACCGAACCGAAGAAGTAGATATGGGCCTATCTCCTGGAACAGATGAGTTTCAACTGCTAAGCTGTTCAAGAATCGCCACAAATGATTAATCCTTTTTCTTTTAATGAAGTGTTTCTGCTTTCTCTCACCTTCTAGGCATACAAGAAAAATTGCCCTTCCTGCCTCCTTGGTATTGAGTGTGGCTATATGACTTGCTTTGGCCAATGAGTAGAAGTGACATTTATCTCTTCAGGGCAGAAGCATTTAAGAGCCCATGAACAATTCTTCATGTTTATTTTACATTCTCAGGTGAGTAACCTTAAGCCTCCTGGTGACACAGTAGGATCTCAAAATGGTGGAGCTCCATCAGCTTAGGTACCCGAGCAGAACCCCTTGCCAGCCTACTTTGGACATGCAGTATGAGAAATCAACCTCTGTGGTTTTAAATCACTGAGGTTTTGGCAGTTACCACAGCATAACCTAACCCAGGAGCCACATGCAGCCTTGAGGCCACAGGTTTCCCACCCCTGAAACCTGATTAATACAAGGTTCATTTGCATGGTCACTGAGCTTCTCTAGGAACTGGAATGCAGTATCCAGACTTCTGACCACATCACTAAAAGCTGGAGGACAGAGCAAATTGTTGGTTTTCTTCCCTCAGCTTCCTCATCTACCACCACCTTCTGACTTTGAAAAAAATCATTTTCTCAGGGCCCTTCATTATTGGCTTCCCATTATTCTGGCAGTTAGATTGGAGGGAGGAAGAAATGAGGGAGGCTCAGATCTTTTCTCCATTCCACAGCCTGATTGCAAAACTGTCCCCACCCACTAGTATTCACACTTAACCTTGTCACAGTAAGACAGACTATTACCACTCCTTAGGTGTCACAACAGAAAGGAGCTGCAGCGGGCGCCACTGCAATGTCAAGGCAAGGCAGCCAGGCTGCGCCCTATCCTCACTGGTGGCTGGGCTTGACTAAGCCGGGAGAAGCAGTGGTCTCTAGCGAAAGAAGCCTTCTCAAATGGGAACAAAAATGAGTGTGAGGCGAACACCCATCCTGGGCACTGTGTGAATTTGGGGTGAGTTCTCTTAGTACTCCAACTCTGGCCAATTTTAGTTTTTAGCGGTTAGTAAACTGCCCGGCTGGTGCTAGTGGGGCTCCCAGTTTTCTTGGGCTTTTCGCAAGCCCACCCGAGCACACTTGCACAGGTCATAAACGGTGGGGTTTGAGCGCAACGAGAGCTTCAGTAACGCGTCCACAGCCAGGATCAAAGGTCGGCGGGGCTGCCAAGAGGCCGAGCCTGCGCAGTCCCGCTCCCGCCTTGGAGAGAAAGGGTGGCGGCAGCGCGGGCTCGCTACACTAGCGTGCTCGCAAGAGGCGGGAAAGTGTTAGGTCGGGTGGCAGCGTCCCTCCCTCCGCCTGCCCCGTCTACCCATCTGCCCAGCGAGCTTGTCCTCCACCGACGCCCAGGCCCCAGGGGAGGGGGACAAGAAAGGGCCCGCGCTTCTGACTCATCATTTCCAACCCCTTTCTCGCGCGCGCTCCAAGTCTCAGGACTGGACCTGGGCACTCGTACAAGGGGGTGCGGCGACAGCTTCTGGGAAACCCCAGCTCTGCTAAGCGCCAGCCTCTAGCTCTCGCCAGTCTCTGAAGCTGCCGACGACAGTGATGTGGATCCAGAGTCAGCTCTCAGTTGCCGTGGCTGGGGTGGCGGCGCCCCCGCGCACGACTGCCTGCCCAGCTCCTCCCCGAACGCGAGGCCAGTGGTCGCGTCCGAGGAAACTCAGCTAGGCCCTGACTTCCAGCGCCTCGCGTCACTCAGCAGATGCACAGCGCCCCCACCGCGGAGGGAAGGCTCTTTATTTCCCAGCAGGTCACGGGGTAGCGGGGTGTCCTGGGACTTGTAGTCTCCGCTAGAGTAGACAGGGACTGGATGGAAGGGGAAATTGGAGCATCCCTGAATTGGATTCAGAGACTTGGCGTGTGTGGGAACCGGGGCTTCCCGGTGTGTATGGAATTGTGAAAGGTGGACAGAAGAGAATAATGAGATAAGGCAGTTGCGAAGCTGTATGGAAAGGCAGCGGGGAAGGAGCATAGGGATGCAAGGGAGGAAGCAGCTTTTCAGGGCCGTGAGGTGAGGGAGGACTGTCGTGCAGGTATATTTAGGGAAAGGGGCCCGCTCTGAGTAATAACTGAAGGCACCCCACCAGACATCATGTAGTTCTCAAGGGAGTCCAGCTAGCTTCTGAGTTCGGTGGGGTGGGATGCAGGAATGTCTGGAGAGCGCTCCCTCAGGGTAGCGGGAGAGCAACACCGGCCTGCTCCCTCTTGCCCACTCTCTCACTTGTTCTGTTGCCTGTGCTGGCCACCGTGGAACCGCTCTCCAAACCAGGAACCTCCTCCAACTCAGAGAGGCCCTGAAAACCAGACAGAGGTGTAAGCAAATTGTAGGGGTGAGAAAGGAGAAACCACGGAGAGAAGCAACTGCTTCCTCCTCCTCCATTTTTTCTTGTGTTTTCCAAAGCCCTTCCAATATTTAGGCAGCTTCCTAATGCTTTCCCACTCTTCTATCCCCAATCATTTAGATACCCACCTCTTACCCACCATTAGGGGAGAAATGTCCAAAGCCAGAAAGCCAATTAGTTTCATTCTAGGACCTCTTCATTTCCCTCCTGCCCCATTGTTTTCCCTTAAGTGCCGCTGACCAGGATAGCCAGTGGAAAAATTGGCTGGCAGCTAGCTGCTTTACTCCCTGCCCCCAATACCTCCTGCAGCTCCTGGTAGTGCAAACTCCTGCTCCTGAAGCATCCTGGCTTCCTCTGGCTCAGCAGGAATAGGGCATGCACTGAGATCAGCACTCCCACTAGGGTGAAGGCCTCAGCACTGATCTCCAGCACCAGCAAGCCAGCCATCTGCAGGTAGACAGGGCTGAGGATGCTGCAGAGACCCAGCATCTGTTTGCTCCTACTCTTTTGCCTCTCCATGTCCTCTTGCCTCCTCATCCTCCCACCGTTTCCTTCGTTCACCCATACCTGGGAGGGTGCAGTTGGGGCAGACCCCAAGGCTGTCTTCATCACCTCGACCACCACCACGATGAAGCTCAAGATGAGGTTGAAGGTGTTGAGTATCATCATGGCCCGCACCTGCCAGTTGAGCCAGCTCAGCCCTGCCCAGCCTAGGAGACTCATTCCAACCTCAAGCCCCATCTACAGCCTAGCTGAAAACAACTCAGCTCCTGCTTGTCCACCTCCAAACAGGGCCATCATCCCTCTAACTTTCTTGCTCTCCCTCATCAGTCTTTTAGGCTAGTCAATGTCGGACAGCTAAGAGGATGAGTCAACACTTAGAGTCACTTCCTGGGCTGAGGGGTATATGTGTGTCTATTTTGCAGGGTAAGAGGACAATACTGCATTCTCTTCCCCTCTCACCTTCCAGAGACGGGGTGCTCTGCGAAGCTCAAGGGTGACAATCCCAGTGAGGAGACCCTGAATGGTGAGAAGGGCAAATGTTGAGCTCTGATCCCATTAGGGAGGGGCCTCCACCCTTCTTTGCACTGGATCTTACTGAGGCCCCAGGCCCAAGAGGCAGCGCTGTGGCCATGTGACAGTCAGAGTTCAGGCAGGCAACGGAGACAGCAAAGGGCACCACAGTCACTGCCAGCCATAGCTGACTCACCTGGGGGATAGGACAGGTAGTTTAGAGGGAACTGTCAGGGATTCCTTTCCCTCCTCCCAACCCCTACGTCTTCTAGAGCTTGGCAGTTGGGATGAATGCACCTGGAGGAAAGTAGTCAACCAAGGGCAGTGAAGGAGGTGATAATTAAAAAGTAAATATCATTTTTTCTGCCTCATGTTGTAGTTTAGTTACTTACCTGTATATTTTCCCCACATGATAGAAGCTGCTTGGAGATTAAGGGTCTTGCCTTGTTTATTTCTGTTTCCTCCACCCTCCTCCCACTCAGAGCCTAGCACAGTTTCTGGCACATGGTAGGTGCTCACTAAACATGGATGAAAGGAATTGAATTAGGTACAAGTGGACATGCTGAGACCTGGGGTGGGGCAGCTTGGCCTCACCGCCAGCACCAAGAGGTGCCCACTCTGCCTGTGCCTTGCCCAGTGCTGTAGCTTTCTTAGACGGAGGCTGCATCTCTCCTCCTCTTGCTGACCAGCTCTCTCCTCCATGGGGCCCTTGACCACAAGAGCTGGGTGCTTCCTAGGTTGGGAAAAATGCATTATGGGTCCTATCAGGAAACAGGACATGCAACAACATCTCTTTCAGCCCGCCCTCTGCCCACTCCCGATATCCAGGGAGTTGAAGGCCAGGGTCTCACACGTACCTAGTCTGAAGCAGCTTCTCCAAAGGGTTGGGACCCAGCTGGGTCCTAGGACTCCTGAGGAGCTTGGTAGCTCGAGCAGACGGACAAACTTCTGGCAGAGAAAGGCTGTCAGGGCTGGGGTGTGGTAGGGCAAAGGTCCCTGTGAAGGCCTAAGGATTCAGGGAGTGGCCCTGGGTAGACACCAGCCTGAGTTCACTCCACAGGACACCCAGTCCTGCCTCACTCTGCTCCCATTTCCCCTTGTCCCCATTTCTGTCCATCCCGGCTTCCTCTTCTGGTTTCACTCACCTCATCCCTGTGGACACTATCAACCTTGGACCTCAATTTCCCCTCATTTCCATCTAATCTTTCTCCTTTCTTTGGCTTCCTCCTCAAATTACTTGCTGTTCCCTGGAGAGATCCCACTTTCTGTCTGTATTGGTCCCCTGTCATTACCACTTGTAGCTTTGTCCCCAGACCACGTATGGTTTAATTCTACTGACTTTCATGTTTCTCACTGGACACTTTCTTCTTTCTCCTTCCTTTCTTGAAGTAGTTATTCTGAATTGAACACTGACTAAATAGATGGGAAGCCTTGTTTATGGTGGGGATTGTTTTTGACTCAGTGATAACCTGCAGCTAGACATACATGGAAGATGGTCCTCAAATGGTCAGTCTTGGGAAGGATACTATTGCAACAATTAATATTTTTGAGAGAGAAGGTGCCTTGCAGGTAGATAGGGCTGGACTAGAATCTTAGCTCTGCCATTTTCCCAGCTGTGTGGCCTGAGACACATTATTCTACCTATTTGAACCTCAGTTTGCTCTCTGACAAAAGGGAGCTAACGATATGACTGTAAAGGGTTGTTAATTCACAGCGAGTGCTTAATAACCATTATTGCTGCTGATGAGGTCACACTGATGCCCACATACTAAAAGGCCTATTCAGAAGCTAAGCTAGGGACATTTATTTCTACAGGAGGAAGCAAAACAAGCTGGGTCCAAATATATACTCTATAGATCAAAGATAAGAAAGGCTCATCTTGGGGCAGAGGCTGAGGTCTGTAGGCAACCAGACCTTTGTTCAAATCCCAGATCTACCTGGGTGCCCTTGGGCAAGTTGCTTAATCTCTCTGCTTCCTTATCTATACAGGGAAGTTTATAATGCCAATCTCAAGGGGTTGCCTTGAGCATTAAAAGAGAAAATTCAGATGAACCAGCTTAGCCTAGTACCTGGTACTATAAGTGCTCAATAAATGTTAGTGGCTATCATCATCATCATCGTTATTTATTATTATTGATAATAGAAGAAGACTGAGCCGGAAGACCCCTGGGAGTTAGTACCAAAAGGCAAGTTTCTGCGAGGCAAATGGCCTTCTTTATAAGTCACTTCTGCCTGCCCAGTGCTGAGCCATCATCACTGAAGCACTGTATCCGCTCTTTTCTTTCGCTCTTTTCTTTCCGCGGGAATGCGAATCACATTTTAAAGGGATTCAGAGAACTGTTGTGTGTCCGATCCTCCCTCCTCAATCCCTGTGTGCATTAATTTTATTTGGTGGTGATGTGAGATGTTGGGCTTGCACTGAGGATCCCTGAGTTTGCAGGCCAGTGGAGAAAGAGACTCCTTGAGCCTCATTTTCCCTACGAGTTAGGACTAATTATATTATAGAGGGTTATTGTAAGGATTATATGCCGTTAAATACGTGAACATGCACTCAGTAACTATTGACTTAATCTGAATATACTACTTACAAGTTCGTAGCCCCCGTCTAGACTACAATCTCCTGGAAGGAAGGTAGCACATCCTTCTCATCTGCGCATCCCCTACAGCGCTGAGCACAGTGCCTGGAGTAAGCACTCAGTAAATATTTGCTGTATTGAAGAGCCATTAAAGTGACTTGAGGAATGGAAAATAGAATTCGAGAGGAAGGAGAGGGAATTGTTTATAAAGAACAGAAAGGACCGAAGAGTAACTTCAATGTTTCTTATACGGCCGACATTAACTATCTCTATAATCGCCCCTCCTCCTCCCCCCAAAGAGAGACAGAAATTGTAAGGGAGAGGCTTTGCGATAAAACCCCAGGAAGAACTTCCCGAGTCTGTGCATGTTGGGGCAGAAAGAGCGGCAGAGCCAACTCCTTCCCTGGTATGTCCGGGTTTAGGGTGGGAGGGGCAGTGCTGCTTGGAGGCTGGGGGAAGGACGAGATGACCTTTCAAAATCTCTTCCAGTCTCCTGTTGGAATCGCCTGTGTGCCCCACCCCCGCTCCCTCCCTTCCTCCCTCCCTCCGACAGCGCCCCCAGTCTCCAAACTGCCCGCACCCCGCCCCTGGCGGCCGCTTCTCTCGGCTCCCGGGGTCCCCAGCTCCCTGTCCCCGGAGCCAGAACCCAGCTCCCGCGCGGCTCTCAGCCCCGCCGCGCCGCCCCCCGCATGCTAATGGCCGGGCCGCCTCCCGCCGCACACAATGCGGGCCAGGGCCGGGGGCGGGGGACGAAGTAGACGGTGCCTGGTTTCAGGCCGGCCA